GGGGCTTCTGTTGGAACCAGGCTACTGCAGCACCTACATCAGTACTGGATGTACATGTGATGGTGACTGACTGTCCCAGGGACACAGAGATAGAATCCGGAGTCTGAGTCATCACAGTCTGTCCACAGGATCCTGAGGATGCGAAAGAGACATATCTATTATTATTATTATTATTCATAGATCAATATAGAAATGAACATGGAAGGAGCCTCATCTCTCACCCTGAATAGAAATGAAGATGACGGCCAGCAGATAACTGTGAGAACTCATCTTGATGTTTGTGGAGTGTCAGATACAAAGTAGAAGACGTCTCCCGTACAATGAGATATATAGAGAGAGTGACAGGGGAGATGTTACACCCCACACACTGTGAAGAAAAAAAAATTCGGTAATTTTTCCTTAATATGGTAAAAAATAAAAACCCCAGTGGTGAATAAATACCACCAAAAGAAAGCTCTATCTGTCCCCAAAAAAGGGTATAAAATTAATTTCAGTACAGCGTTGCATGACGGAATAAATGTCAGTCAAATTACCGCAGCGCTGAATACTGAAAAATGGCCTGGATGGGAAGGGGGTTTAACACCGCGGATGTCAACTGGTTAAAGAACAAAAATAAAATGAGCAATATGGAGGTGTTCCCAAACAATGGCATTAACACATAGGTAAATGTGCTTTGTGGTTACATTTACAATGTGTGTCACCCATATGTATACACAATGCCCAGCATAAATAAGTACACCCCAACAGATTTGTCAGAAAACCTTTACTTTACTATACTGTGGGGACCCCAGGGGTACACATGCGTCTGCCACACAGTCCGATAAAGTAAACAGCTTTTATTTTCAACCAAAGGCAACAGAACAAACGGCTTCCTTCAGCAAAATGGCAAAGTAAAAGGCTTTCTTCAGCAAAACATCAAACATAAAGCAAAAGTCTTTGAACAATCCTGCACAGCGTAGTGCGTTTTGGTGGTCGCACCTAGATCACAGGCCTCTGAGCAGCCACACACAGAGATCTTTCTGTGTGTCTCTCAGCTTCCACTTCTCTCTCACCTGCGTTCCCTTTTTAACAGGAAGGGCTATAGGGGAAGTGCCTGCCCTCCCAAATTAACCCCTTTTTAGGCCTCAGCAAGGTAGACTCTCCACAATACATTTACCTTTACTATACTATGAAATGCACAAATGCGGGCCATTGATTGCACCCAAGATTTGTTAATTTGCACACACAAAAAAAGTATTTTTCCTAACAAATTAATTCAAGACCATGTTGCAAAAATAAATACACCCCAATGAAAGTCATAGGAGCAAAGCTAAATTTTAGACAACAAAATCCTAATTAACAAGAATTCGACTCCAGGTGAGTATAATGATTCATTACACAGGTGTCCAGCAGACAGGTGATTATAACAAAGAAAGCCCCTTCCCATTTCCTGCTGTAAGTAATGGCCCCACATGGAAGAGAAATGTCACAAGGGCTGAGAAAGAAAATAATTGCTTTACACACAAAAGGTGAAGGCTACAAGAAGATCAGGAAAGCTTTACTTATCAGTCAGAATAATGCAGCAAAAGTGACAAAAAATGTAACAAAGATGAAACTGCAACCATCTCACAGAGACGTCCAGGCCGTCCACGGAAGATAACACCTCGACAGGAGCGTCTCCTGATGAGAAGGGTTGAAGAAAATCGGCATGCAAGTTCACTGCAGTTAACTAAAGAAGTAGAAAGCCAAACTGGGGTGACTGTTTCCCGCGACACAATACGGCGTACACTGCAGAGGAATGGCATGCAAGGGTGTCGTCCACAAAGCCTCTCCTAAAGCTCATGTACAAAAAAGCTCGCCTACAATTTGCCAGGGCCCATGCTGAAAAAGAAGAAGACTACAGGGACTCTGTACTCTGGAGTGATGAGACCAAGATCAATTCAGTAGCACTTACAAGTCTACTCCTCACCACCCTGTGACTGAACAGTAGAAGAAGGTGGATGAGCTCATCTCTCTGTCACTATGTTCTCCACTCCAATCAGCATGCATTTTTTGCACCGCAGCACTATTATTGGCTCCTTGTGTTGTATGTAAAGCAAATTTGTTTAAGTTTTGAATAGGATGGGGGAGGGTTACACCCCCCAAGTCAGTACTTAATGCTGTCTGTGCCCACTCTAAGGCGATTCCTCCTCCCTGTTTGTCCTGGTGACCATTGTCACTGAGGCAGAAATTATGGGAAAATACAAAATTTAAGAGCTGTCACGATAGCAGATGGTGAGCAAAAAAAAAATCCTCCAATGGAGCAACTGTTTGTATGCCAATTGTCTAAAATTGTTAGCACATCTGCCTTGCAGCACTGGGGGTCCCCTGTTCAAATCCCGATCAGGACACTATCTGCAAGGAGTTTGCATGTTCTCCCTGTGCTTGTGTGGGTTTCCTTCATGTACTCTGGTTTCCTCCCACACTCCAAAGACAGGCTGAAAGGTTAATTGGCTCCAATCTAAATTAGCCCTCTATGTATGTATGTGAGATAGGGACCTTAGATCGTAAGTACCTTGAGGGCAGGGGCCAATGTGAAAAGCGCTGCATTAAAAAAATGTTGGTGATATGTAAATACCAATAATCAATAAATTGGAATGTTTTCACTTTAGAGAAAACATAACTGGGAGATAGTTGTCATCCCAAAACATGGTGTCTGTACAAAGACCTTCATGGCCGGATCAACCATTAAACTTTAATAAAAGCTGCATGATGAAAAGAGAACAACTTTTTATATCCTGATATTGTGTTTTAGGGTGACGCCTTTCCATTGCAGGGTTCTATCGAGTCACCTTTTTGTGTGTTAGTAAGCTGTGTGTGTCTCCACAAACACACAGACACAGCAAAGCAAGACATTCCCTGCTCCTCCCTTCTCTAAGCTAGTAAATGGCCAGCCAATGGAGACTGCTCTGTCCATTGTGATCTTGAACTTGACATTACGTTCAGGGAAGCAGAGCTGGGAGAGTGGGAGCCATTTGGAAACATGATGACTATAAGTTCTCAAGAGAAAATGTAGTGAAATACTTTTTTTTGCTATTGAAGAGTATAATACTACTTTAGGGATTTCAAATATGTGGGGAAGCAGTAGCAGAACAGTAACTGAACTCTCCAGCAGCATAATGTGATATGCTGGAGTCTGATTTATTTTCAGATAAATGTAATAAACTAATGTTACACCTGGGAATTACACAGTCCTGTCTTGGCAGGGCAGGAGATCTGATCTTGTCGTCCATGGCCCAGTAGCACTTACAAGTCTCCTCCTAACCCCCACCCTGTGACTGAACAGTTACAAGAAGGCAGATGAGCTCATCTCTCCGTCACTATGTTCTCCCCCCCAATCAGCATTTTGTTTGCACTCTAGCACTATTATTGGCTCTTTATATTGTATGTAAAGGTAAATTAATTTAAGTTTTGGACAGGATGAGAATGGGTTAGACCCCCCTGTCAGTTCTTAATGTTGTTTGTGTCCATGCTAAAGAGACCCCCCTCTGTTTGTCCTGCTGACCATTATCACTGAGACAGAAAGTGACTGGGAAAACCAAAATTTAAGAGCTGTCACCATAGCAGGCTGTGAGGGGAAAATCCTCCAATGGAGACAACTGTTTATATGCAAAATTGGATTATTTTTTTTATAACATTGGAGAAATGTTCTTTCATTTCCTGTGGTGCCTCAGGGTCAGGGAGTTCAGGGAAGCCGAGCTGAAAGAGTGGGAGACCATAAGTGCTTTGGGCAAAAATGCAAAGAAATACTCTGCTGGTCAATGTATATTTGTTTGATCTGGATTCATTATTACTAAAAAAAACTTTGATAGTTTTAATGCTACTTTCATTTATGTGTTTTTGTTGAATTTGGCTTTAGGGCATATTTTAAGCGCTAATTTAAAGACACTTAGGGGTCTATTTATAAACAATTTGCATAGCTATTCATCCAGCAAAACTGCATGTATATTAATTCTGTGCTTGTTAACCAGCTTTTGAAATAATGGGACAAAATTGAATGTTCTTATCGTATATTGTACACATATAAATATAACAATTGCTACTACGGGGACAGCAATGATCACATTTATATGCTCATTCTTGAATTGCAACATTGTGTCTCTGTTACTAACATGTAATTTGGTGATCTTTAGTTCTATCTAGTGGCCATAATGTGGTATTTTCCTAATTCATTCTGTTTTTTATTAGTAAACATTTAACCAGAAGAGAACTTTGCCTAAGAACATTCGATTTTACTGCATCCTCCCAACAGCTGGTTAATGCCCCCAGAACAAATGTGCATATGGTTTCTCTAGCTGTATAGCTATGCAATTTTATTTATACATAGACCCTTTCATTTTTTAATGTTCCTTGTATCATAAATACTTTTCATTTTTTTTTTAACAACACATTTTATATTTATTTTTAGAATTGTTACATTTTACATCTGCTGATCTCTTGCAGCCTCTTTGCAGCCACTTGCTGTCTTCATGTATTTCAGCAAATACATATAATTTCTCTGGGCTTTCCAGACTCTTCTATTTGAAGTTGGACGAGAGAGTCTGCCTGACCTATAATAACCAGTTAGGATTCCAGCTGATATCATTTATAAAATGATGCAGATATTTGAGTAGTTCTCATGGACAGCACACTCTTCATTTTTGTTAAATTATTATTTTTGTTCTGCTAATGATCACCATTACTTTTTCAGAAATGTATTACAGTTATTCTACATGAATGTCATGTCATCACATATTTAATTGTTGATATTAATAAAAGAGGAAGGAGGTTTTTGTACGGCTCTGTATCACTGTGTGAGAGGATACTGATCATGCTTCATACAGTAATATCTTCCTTCATCATCTTCAGTTACCGCAGTGATGGATAGTTTGTATATATTTCCTGATCTGGAACCACTGAACCTGTCCGGGATCCCAGATGGACGAGTGCTTGCACTATATATAAGTTGCTTTGGAGGTTGTTGGGGCTTCTGTTGGTGCCAGGCTACCCAGCCACCTACATCAGCACTGGATGTACATGTTATGGTGGTTGTCTGTCCCGGGGACACAGAGATAGAATCTGGAGTCTGAGTCATCACAGTCTGCCCACAGGATCCTGAGGATGGGAAGAGACATATTGATTATTGATAAATGTCTGTATATCTTCCTATCAATCCTGATGTGTGTATTTATTGTACAATGTATAGATGTATGTGCAGAGGATGACGGAAGGAGCCTCATCTCTCACCCTGAATAGAAATGAAGATGACGGCCAGCAGATAACTGTGAGAAAGCATCTTGATGTTTGTGGAGTGTCAGATACAAAGTAGAAGACGTCTCCTGTACAATTAGATATATAGAGAGAGTGACAGGGGTGATGTTACACCCCACACACTGTGTATGCAAAGTTATGGAAATCTTGTGGTTTTCATTTACTTTTTCATTTGCATGGATAAAAAACAACAACATTTTAGCTATGAAAGATTTTGTGTAAGGTAGTCCTGACTGCTCCACACTGTACTCTGTGGTGTACATTACATACTTGACAATGTTTTATTTTGTCTTAACAGTTGGTTGCGCTGTAGTCCCAACATTTTTAATTTATAAGGTTCTTTTTCAAAGTAGGCTCAGACAAAGTGTCAGCTCTTTGTCTGTATTCTGTGTAGAGAAAGGCATATGTGATGAAAGGGTTTCATATTTTCAAAAATGATCCTTCATGCACAGGTTTAAGTGTCTGTGAGACTCTCACTTGTGACATTGTAATGAAGGGATATTTAGTGGACACAAGGACTGCAGCACACATGTACTGTGTATACAGCAAATAGGCACAGACTTTATTTAGCCTAATATTCTATATAATGTACCCACAACCACTTTTTCCTATGGCAAACTTTGCATGCCACAGCTTGCCTTCACTTCTAGGTCTCCTTTTTTCTCAGATGAGAGGCATGACCACATCTCAAGCAAGTGATCATTGTCCCAGATACTGAGCCACAGATAGCTCCTCATTTCTTAGCTCCATTCCCCTGGAGCTTAGGCTAGTCTTAAATGTGTTGCTTTCTCTTGTTCATCCCATGGGCTGAATTATTTGATTCTCCCATCCATACTAAACAGCCTGGACGGAGGATCTTCTCTGACATTTACTGTGTTTAGACAGCCACAGCACTTGCAGCTGTCTAAATACCTGAATAGTCACTACATCTCTGTGGATGCAGCTTCTGCTAGGTTGACAATTTCCCACCCAGCTCATGTGATTATGGCTCGAATGTTAGATGGTTCAACAGGAGTTGGAAGACATTTGGGTCATATATAGACTGCTTTAAAGGGCCCCAACAAGAACAATGGCACCACCACAGGGATTCATCAGACCAAGCCACCTTCTTCCATTGGGTGCATGTAATATTTTTTTAAAAATGAAACTAATCTAAGCTCAGCACACTTCTGTGCCGAAATGAATGAACGCCCATGCACAAGTGCACAGCTAATTTTTCTCTCCACCAGCCAATCAAGACACCTAAGGAACCATCTGCAGGGTCATTTGCCTTGCGAATATCTGTAAACGTTTGCTCTGTGCAAATATGTCAAAATAAACATGTTTAAGTTGTTTTCTTTACAAGTGCAATTAATTTTCACATACTTTTATGTAATATCACTTTATAGCCACTAGATGGTGCTAACATTCCATATGAAATAAGTATTTATTTGCTATGCTCCCCATCGCCATCTTTTGGCCATAATGCAGTATTGCATTAAAAAAATTGAAACTACATTGCGTTGTAAATAACCAGCTAAAGAACATTTGTTTTGCCATATATGCACACAGATCGCACATTCACACATATTTGCATAGTGAAGGGCCATGTGGATAGTTTATAAATCGACCCTGAAGTGTATGTGAATCCTTTTGTTGTATACACTCCTGAAGCATATTCCTAAAGCTAACAATGCAAAATAAATAAATAAATGGAATCCTTTTTTCCCTCTAGTCTACAAGTGGTCTTGTGACTGCTATTCAGAGTTATATCATTGGGATCTGAGAGGTGGGGTGGAAACCAAGAGCAGTTGTCAATCACTGGCCTATGGTCATGTCACGTGGGATGTCACTGGATTGAAGGAGAATTATGAGGTGAGTGAAATACACTCATCCCTATAATTTAAGCCAATCTGTGACACTGAAGCTGCCATAAGTTGGCTCTAATGATCGGAAAGTCAGCGAACACATACTGCCGATCGCTGATTTCCCGATCCTCTCCCTGCAGAGAGCGGTGACTGTCAGTCATTCCTCCCTGTAGGGATTCTCCCCTCTCTGTTTCTCCAGCACTGACTGGAGGAACTAATGGGGGGGGGGGCACAGTTGGTTCTGCTTCTAGAGAGGCAAAGCCAGCTGTCAATCAGCCAGCTGGAGGGATCGTGACAGTTTTGTCGGGATCTGTCTCGGCTGCGGCACTGCTCTGAGCTCTCAACATATAGCAGACAATAGCCAGCTATATACTGAGCTTTGGGTCACCCAAGGACATTAGTATATGCCCTCCTGTTATCTCTGAAGAGAACTATGGCAAAAAAAGGTTAGGTCATTGTTCTCTTTTAAGTCCTACTGCTCCCTTTCAATGTATTACTCCACAGCTGCTGTCCATCAAGCTGAGCAGGGTGGGCAGAGGGCAAGTCGTGGGCAGAGGGTGGGCAGAGGGCAAGTCGTGGGCAGAGGGCCGGAAATACAGGACTGGCAGGATCACCACATATTTGCTGATGAAATTTGATGATAACAAATACAGCACATATACAAGAAGTGATGCTGACACAGAAATACCATAATGGGATATGAGTGGAGAAGGGTAACATACTGATAAGGAGGGTAGAGCTGAGTAATAACTTATCACTGTATTGCTCATACCTCACAAATGGCCTTCATTTGGAGAGACCGTCCCTCACTTGCAACTAAATCCCTCTGTCCCTCTTTCCTTCTCGGATGTCCCTCTTTTTCATCGAATATATAGATATCTACTACCATCTACTAATGGTTCTATTTAACCACCAAAGGGTTATTCTGCGCTAAAAGCTGCATCCTAGCTCTTAATTTTCTAGTTTGCTGTTTTGAACAGCCAGAATAAAGGAAAAGTAATGGTGGAAAACAACAATTCTGGGTTTAACCAATCATTTCTGGCATATGAATTGTTAATGGTGCATGTAACCGGGGTCATGGCAGAGGTGTTTCTATTGCCTAAATACATTGTACTGGAAGGTGTCCCTCTTTATCTCAGAAGGTTGGGACATATGATGTTGCTGCTTCTTCTTTCATTGTCCAATCAGCAGGTTTGGGAATGTTTTGAGCAATATTCTTGATCAAACTTTGTTGCTGTTGTAGTAACAAACAAGGACCTGTGCTGTCTGGTAGGGGTGGTGGGGGATTTTGATAATAATGCTGCCTGCTAAAGCTACAAATCTTTGATCACATTAAACATTTTCTATGTTTGTAATTCAATAGCTTATTTATCAGCTTACCTTTAGTAAAGCTTTAAACAGTTGCATTGGTTAGTTACATTCATTTGATATACTTTGAGGCCCTCTAGTGGTACATATATATATACACTGAGTGGCCAGTTTATTATGACCACCTGACGTTTGTGGGCAAATTAGCTATAATTTCGCACTGAAGTTGCTCGAGGGCCAGACCATTATAAACAGGGAAGCAGGTTGTTTACCACGACAGTAGAAGTGATTTGTTTCTGAAGATACGGGTAAACAATGCGATTTAACAGCCTTTGAACGTGGGATGATTGTTGGCGCTCGGAGCCATGGAGCGAGTATCAGCAAAACAGCAGAATTCGTTAAATGTTCAAAGAGTGGCTCATTGTTAAAGTGTTTAAAGACTGGACTGTCAGCCGAAAATCTGGGTCTGAACGTGCGAATTGTGGCCGTCAGCGACTAGTCAATGTTAGGGCAGAACGGAGAGTGGCAAGACTGGTACAAGACAACAGAAGGGCAACAGTGCAGTGTCAGATTCCTCGCATCACCTTTCAACATCTCCTGGAGTCACGAGGCGGCCCAACTGCTCAAAAAATGTTAAAACACTTTTTAATCAGAGTATAGGATATAGAGGTTGCACAGGCCTGCTAACTCCTCCAGGATGGCACATCAATATGTGCCATTGCCAGAAGGTTTGCTGTGTCTCCCAGCACAGTCTCAAGAGCATGGAGGAGATTCCAGGACACAGGCAGTTACTCTAGGAGAGATGGACAGGGCCGTAGAAGGTCCTTAACCCTTCAGCAGGGCCGGTATCTGCTCCTTTGTGCAAGGAGGAACAGGATGAGCCCTACAAAATGACCTTCAGCAGGCCACTGGTGTGAATGTCTCTGACCAAACAATCAGAAACATACTTCATGAGGTGGTCGGAGGACCCCATATCCTCTAGTGGGCCCTATGCTCACTGCCTGGCACCGTGGAGGTCGATTGGCTTTTGCCATTGAACGCCAGAATTGGCAGGTCAGCCACTGGCACCCTGTGCTTTTCACAGATAAGAACAGGTTCATCCTGAGCACAGCACATGTGACAGACATGAAAGGATCTGGAGAAGCCATGGAGAACGTTATGCTGACTGTAACATCGTTCAGCATGACTGGTTTGGTGATGAGTCAGTGATGGTTTGGGGAGGCATATCCATGGAGGGAACCACAGATCTCTACAGGCTAAACAATGGCACCCTGACTGCCATTAGGTATCGGGATGAAATCCTTGGACCTATTGTCAGACCCTTCGCTGGTGCAGTGGGTCCTGAGTTCCTTCTGGCGCACGACAATGCCCGGCCTCATGTGGCAAGAGTATGCAGCCAGTTCCTTGAGGATAAAGGAATTGATATCATTGATGGGCCCCCACGCTCGCCTGACCTGAATCCAATAGAACACCTCTGGGACATTATGTCTCGGTCCATCCGACGCCACCAGGTTGCACCTCAGTCTGTTCAGGAGCTCAGTGATGCCCTGGTCCAGATTTGGGAGGAGATACCCCAGAACACCATCCGTCGTCTCATTAGGAGCATGCCCCATTGTTGTCAGGCATTCATACAAGCATGTGGGGGCCATACAAACTAGTGAGTACCATTTTGAGTTGCTGCAATGACATTTCAGCACAATGGACTAGCCTGCTGCATCATTTGTTCACTTTGATTTTTGGGGTGTCTTAGAATTCAGCCCTCTGTAGGTTGATCATTTTTCATTTCCATCAAACGATGTGGCATCCTTTTGTTCCTAAAACATTACCCAGTCCAGTATACGGTAGATATCCAGCATGATATTTTTCCCCATTGAGATCTGATGCGTTTTCAAAGTGTTTCTTTAATTTTTTTGAGCAGTATGTATATATATCTATATCTATATATACATATTGTATATACACACACTTCCTGGAGCAAGTTATAACTTCTGCCATTCTGATTTAAGTGGCAATAAAGCGGTCTGTTGATGGAGTCTCCTTGTTTGTACCTTTCTGTGTGTTGTGTTTTTTCCAAGGCACACTTACATACCATTAACAATTATCTTTTTTTTTTTTAACCTGCATTTTATTCCAGACTCACCTGCCCAAAATTTTGGGTCTATCCTTCTCTCTTTCTCCACGGCGTTCTGACCTCACTGACTCTGGGTTGTGCATAAAGGGAAACTTTAGCGCTTTAAAAACGTGAACCAATACCACCATAGTAGAAGCTGGCTGAGAGGAATCATCCAGAAATGTGCAAATTTGGAGTGACAGTATTAATATTTACATATTATCACATTTATCACATCTCAGCTCCTACGCTCCATATCCATAGATAGCTTGAATATTATAATATAACTGATATGATTATTGTTACTGCATGCCTCCCTCCTTTCTGAGATGACAAAGAGGGACACATTTTATCACAATGTATTTGGGGAATGGACACACCCCTGCCATGCCCCAGACATGCAATCTATTTAGAATTTATATAGATAACCCAGGGCACACCTGATCAGTATATTCCCTTACATCTTTTAGTGGGCGCTGAAATGGTGCACACCAGTACACCTTCATACTGAAAACATCTTTATTGATGTCTGAAAATGAACATATCACAGATAAGAGTATGACATTTTGGGGCCATGTGGGGTCCTTTCATTGGGCAATGTGATCCATTTAGAATTTACATACCCAAAATGATTTCTTAAACACAGATTTGTTTTTTACCTTTACTTTTCCTTTACACTGACTTTTTAAAACAGCAAACAAGATGATTAAGAGATAGGAAAAAGGTTTTAGTGCATAATAACAATTTTGGTAGTTAAATAGAACCTTTTCATAGATCTCTGTACATCAGACCAAAAAGAGGGACAACTGCAGAGGAAACAGGGGCAGAGGTATTTGCTTCCAAATGAGGGACATTTGAGAGGCATGTTATTATAAATATAATTTTTACAATATTTTTTTCTTTCACATGATTGGGTGATTAAATTAAACACAACTTCACCACATTTATTAAAGCCACATTCTGGGCACGAGGAAAATGTACACAATGCACTTGGTGTATAAATTCCCATTAAAATGCTGGGTGTTATATGCAGAGAACAGCTGCAAAGTAGAAAAGTCTGCCCTTACAACATGCCGTCCCCTATAAACACACAATGCCCAGCTTCTGGGCACTGAAAAGTGGGAATGATGCATCCCGAGCTGTATGGCGCTATACAGTGTTGCATCACCTGCCCCTTTTCACTATCCTCCATTCACAAAATGTCTTAATTTTTTTTAAAGAATACAAGTCATTCTATGTTTGGAGAAGGAGGGGACAAGGATTTTACATCATCTCTCCTCCTCCAATTACAGAATGTCTAGTATTAAAAAAAAAAAATGCAAAACACTTTGTGAATGGAGGATAGTGAAAAGGGGCGGGTGATGCAACCGGAGCGCTGTACAGCTTGGGCAGTATTGCTCCCTCTTGGGCGCTGTGTGTGGGGGAGGCGTGCTGCAAGGTAAGATTGTCATACTTTGCAGCCACCCTCCACGCATAACACCCAGCTTTTTAATGATAATTAATAGACCCAGTACGTTGTGTAAATTTTCATTCTGCTCGGAGTGTGTGTGGCTTTAAGATCAGTGAGCTCTCACTTTGCAAACTACATATTCTCCATGCTAAGTGAACAGTTTCTGCTCCTTTGGTAAAATGTTCCATTTGTGTCAGTATATTATATACACAAGAAACTGAGGTTATAAATAAAATTGTGCTAATGTATCACTATATTATGTTAAAATTGTTACAGAATTTATACACATATTCACGTAGGTGGGGTTGTTTTTTTTTTTCAATGATTTATATGTTGAATAGATTTAATAAATATATAATCCCCATATGGGGACTTGTTACACAATAATAATTAAGGAGATTTTTCCTATTTGTACTTGACATGAGGATTGGGATAATGATTTATAATAATAATGATAAATCTAATTTTTTTTCCCTTTTGGGGTTGGGGGGTGTGGAAAGTTGATAAAGGTTAATGTAAATTGTATATTTATTTGTTGTGTCAAAAGTGGTTTTGTAATGTCTTTTTATGTAACAGTATTAAATAAGAAAGTGAATACAAAGTTGATAATTAAAAAAAAGAAATGTTACAGTCATCTTTTTTAAATGTGATATACATTTTCATTGTTAAACTGACTTACACTGTTATGTTTCAGTCATCACATATTCAGTTGATGTGGTTTATGAAAGAGGAAGGAGGTTTTTGTACGGCTCTGTACCACTGTGTGAGAGGCAAGCTATTACACTGCTGACAGTGATAAACTGCTTCATCTTCATCCTTTATGTTTCTGATTGTAAGAGTGAAATATGTTCCAGATCCAGATCCACTGAACCTGGCTGGGGCTCCAGACTGCAGATTGGTTGCCAAGTATATAATCAGTGTTGGAGGTTGTCCTGATTTCTGCTGGTACCAGTGTACACAGGTGCCAATACCTGTACTGGATTTACATGGCATGGTGACTGTCTGTCCTGGAGTTGCAGGAATGTAATTTGGATTTTGTGTCAATGTAATCTGTGCCCAGGAACCTGAGGATATAAAATAAACCAATTAATATTGACTGTTAATGCACAGATCACTTAACAATGAATGCAAACTAGAAATCTGAAGATACAAGAACATGGTAACAATAGTTCCATACAATATTATTCCTACAATTCTATTCCTGTATTATTATGATATACATCATGCTGAGAATCTCTCACCCTGAATATAAATCAGTATGAGAGGAAGTAGAATCCCCTGAGAACTCATCTTGATGTCTCTGCACTGACACACACAGACTACTGAGATGTCACCCGTACAATGTCTCCTATATAACGGCTGCAATCTGTACAGATCATACGTGTGAAACAGGAAATATGTAAATCACATTATTGTAGATGCAAATGTGTGTTCTGCATGGTGACCTCAAAATAGCCCACAACACTCACCGCTCAGATTCCGCAGTTAGATCCATATTAAGAGTAACCTTCAGGTGCTGGCAAAAGGCTTGCTCCTACCCAGTGGCGACTCTAGGAAAAATATAAAGTGGGGACACATAAGATACCACAGTCAAAACTGGAGGGGCACTAATAATTTTATAGGTCAAGGAAAAGTACAGCACACTGTGGCGGAGGGAACCCTCATTACTGCTGTGCGTGAGAGCAATTGCTGCGACCCTGGTAGTTCTGGTAGTGACTCCTGTCAACTGTAGAGGGACTACAAATCTCAGCTATACATTATAGAGCAATGCAGAATACCAGCAGCCATAGAGCACTAGAGATCTCAGCAATACATTATACAGCAATACAGAAAAATACCACCAATGTAACGCAGAGTGCAGAAGTCAGTTATGTAATGCAGAGTGTGGAGCACTGTTGTAACGCAGAATGCGGCGGTCATGGGTGCATGTAACGAAGAGTGCGGCAGTCAGGGGTGCGTGCAACACGGGGTACGGTGGTCAGGGGTGCGTGCAACGCAGGTTGCGGTGGTCAGGGGTGCGTGCAACGCAGGGTGCGGTGGTCAGGGGTGCGTGCAATGCATGGTGCGGCGGTCAAGGGTGCGTGCAGCGCAAAGTGTGGCGGTCAGGCATGCGTGTAACGCAGGGTGTGCTGGTCAGGGGTGCGTGCAACGCAGAGTGCGCTGGCCAATGGTGCATGCAACGCAGGGTGGGCTAGTCAGGGGGGCGTGCAA